GATTTTTTTTTTTTTTTTGGCACCTGTTATTTTGTTATTTAAATAAAAAAAATTTCAGAATTATTAATTCTTTTTTTTTAATGAGCTTTGAATTAGGATTTTGCGATCGGTGTGTTTGGTTGATGTTGTAATTTTGAATTAAATTCATGTATGTCACATCCAGTTCATTCAAACGTCAATCAAAACTCTTCCAAAAACTGCAAACCAAGAAACAAATTTTCCACACTCAAATCATCAATTCCAAAACCGGTTTACAAACTCCAAATTAAACTATATTCTCAATTCATATTTAGAAACTCTATCAAACCGCTACCTTAGAATTCCTTTACATGACTAGGGTTTTTTGATAGTGATGAATTTGTCCATACCTAGTACTCGCTGGAATATAGTTTGGTGGAAGGAAGTTTGTGACCCAATTGTGAGAAAGGGCCTCACTTGTAATTCTCTACTTTTTGGGTTTAATTGTAATGTGTTATAGACACTATTGCAATTAGTAGAAGTTCTATGAGATTATTTCATTTTTACCCTATACTTTGTCACGATTTTCAATGACCCCCCAGACTATATTTTCACGCGTACCCCATACTATTTAAATTACTATCAATTTTGCCCTTGTTAGATTTGAATCAGAAAATGTCAAAAAAATTACATTTTAGCCCAAATTTCAAAATAAAGATGCATACCTACCATTTCCTACCAGCAAAACCACCACTTCAAGTCCTTCTATCTCCTTCGTCATAACTCCGTTTCGTTCTTCCTTTTTTTGCATGCTATCGGAGCTCTAAGTTTATAAAAAAAAACTTTTCTTCGAGCCATCTTTCGGACTTCATATCTTTCTCGATTCTTGACGATTCTACTTCATTCTTTCGCCATTCTCTTCACCTCACTTCCTACTTCGCCCTACACTACCTCGCTTTCTTACTTCTTCGTGTAATGGGTGATTTTGGTATGCCGAAAGTTGTTTGAAAATTAATTTCAAAAATTCCGAAACATTCATCCTTTGTTTCTTTCTCCTCCATCTTCCTCATTCTTCTTTTTTTTCTTCATTTATAACATGATGTAGAGCATGGTTCTAGGGGGTAATCGACCACCCGAACCACCAACTTCATCAACTTCTCTAACATCAGCACCCGAACCACCAACTTCACCAACATCACCACCCCGAACAAAACACACCAAGCGTGACTTTCAATGTACAACCCACTGAAGACATGTCATCACAAAGATTTGTCACAAATGAGGACCTAGTTTTTGTTGTGATTGTATTGTATGAAATTGGTATTATTGATTTAAAAGTGATGTTGTAATTGAAAGTCATGTATTTGTATTCAAGCTTTGAGAAAACTATTTTCTCTCTTATCTATATATAGTTATACATGTTTTTTTTTTACTGTAATTTTTTTTTTCTAATTTTAAATGGTGATTGGCTTGTTCATATATTTATTGACAATAGAGATAGTGATAAATTTTCAGTTGAAATTAGAAAAAATATGACATGTTCCATAGATTTAACCCACACGGGTGGGTCAGTGATTAATAGCGTTGAATATGGTTTTCTAATAATAGATAATTTCTTGAGGTCTCTTGGTCCAGTTTCCTGAGGTGCAACAGATTCGCACTTAATCAGTGGTTGTATAAGATTTGGAGAACGTTTGGTATGTTGAAAATTGGAATGGAATGCCAATGCCTATTTTAGTTTTGTATTATCTTCTCATCACCACCCCGAACCACCTTCACTACCACCATGAGCATCACCATCACCACCACCTTTCAAACACCAAACCCACCTCTTTTACAAGCAGATTCCATTACTACTACCTTCAAACTCCATGACCACCATCATCGCAAGCGCCGTCGCCATTGCTAGACTACCACCACCACCATTACCACCTAGAACCGAATTTCACATCATTTTATAAGTGAAGAAGAAGAAGAAGAATGAGGAAGATGGAGAAGAAAGAAACAAAAGATGAATGTTTTGAAATTTTCGAAATTAGTTTTCGGACAACTTTCGGCATACCGAAACCGCCCATTACACGAAGAAGTGAGAAAGCGAGGTAATATAGGGCGAAGTAGCAAGTGAGGTGAGGAGAATGACGAAAGAATAAAGTAGAATCGTTAAGAATTGAGAAAGATATGAAGTCCGAAAGATGGCTTGAAGAAAAGTCGAAAATGAGAAGAAAAGTCATTTTTTTAATAAACTTTCGGAGCTCCGATAGCATGCAAAAAGAGGAAGAACGAGACGTGTGATACGTGATATGAAAACTAGACTGTGAGTTGAATCCAACGACGTAAAAATGAGGCGAAAAGGAGTTTTGAGGAAGGAGATAGAAGGGTTTAAAGTGGTGGTTGGTGGTGGTGGTTTGTTGGTAGGAAATGGTGAGTTTGCATCTTTAATTTGAAATTTGGGGCTAAAATGTAATTTTTTTAACGTTTTTCATTTCAAATCTGACGGCAGGGGCAAAATTGATAGTAATTTAAATAGTATGGGGGTGCGCATGAAAATAAGAGTAGTCTGGGGGAGTCATTTAAAATCGTGTAAAAGTATAGGGGTAAAAATGAAATAATCTCAAGTTTTATATTATCTATTTAAAAGATAATTAAGGCCTTGTTTGGGGAGTGGCTATTTTAGCCAAAAAGCCAACTAAAATTTGTCACATCACCTCTCCACTTTTCATAAAAAGCCAAAAAGTTACTAAAATAGCCTGTTCGCAAACGAGGCTTAAATGAAAAATTGGATAAGTTGTATCTTGCAAATTCAAAATAAAATATATATTTTATTTTATCCCCACAACTGAAAGATAGAGATCCCTATGGACCCAACCTACATGCAAACGCTATCATGAATTATGTATATATCAGATGTATTTGATAGAAAAATTAGCCATCAGAATTTTTAAAGTCTGTAGAAAAATACAAAAGTAAAAGCAAGAGGGGGCAATGTGAATCACTTTAAAGGCAAGACGCTTGAATCACTTGGTGAGATACTAACAACAACACGCTTGGATTGAAGTATTTTCGATTGTGTAAATAGGTGGTGTTTCTTTGAAAGATTATTTTTTCAAATAAAATTTTTTCGCAAACTTTCTTTGGTATCAGAGCCACACTACTTTGATTACATGAGTCTATATTTTTGTTTTTCATTGTAATGAAAATATTAAATATTCGATATTGTCTTGAGTGATTGCCGATTATATAATTTGTGAATATATAATTTATTTTTTTCCTTGTATTAATCGTTCATTAAAAATATAAATGAATAAAAATGAAAGGGGGCCGAAATAGTAAGCAACAAGAAGAAGAAAAAAAAGGACTGAAAAAAAAATCGGTTTGTTGTAGACATGATTACAGGTTCAAATTAGAACTTTATGATGGGCCGAAAAAAAAAGGGGCGGTTGGTTTCTGTAAGACACTGCAGCGATTATTTTTTGTTTTTTTGTTTTTGTTAGTTTATTGATAACATAAAAATTAGTTTGCTAATTTATGGGAATAAATTAGTTATAAATGTTATTGGTATCCCATTTTAATGATTAAGTGTTAAATAGGATTATTTTATGAAAATAAAATCTATGGCTAAAAATTCTAATTAATTGAGATTTAATTGATCCCAAAAGAGTTGGTTGGGTTTTAATTAATTAGTTTGTTTTATTTATTTCGATATATGTTCATTTAATTAGTTGGTTGGGTTTTGATATATGTTCATTTATTTCAAAAGAAATTTTTGTACATGTAGGATTGGTTTCCCAATGCTCACTATGAATGTTTTAAATATAAGTGTTATATTTGTGGGGTTATAAATTGTTTATGATTGTTTGAATGATAATTCTAGTGAGCATTACCATAGTAGATTAAAAACCCCGCATCCTACGGATTTATATACAATGCAATACTTATATTCTTGGGACACATGTTTACCAAACTATGTGGATTGGAAGAGAAATTTAACAATTGTCCTCATTGCTGAAAAATTGAACCATGTTCTAACCACTGATTCACCTGCGCTCCCTAGAGCGGATGCCACTGATTGTGAGGACCCAAACCTTTTTTTTTTTAAATAGTCGGTGCAAAATTTAAAATTTTAGTTTTGAGTGTTCAGACCATGATTTGAGAAAATAGAAAATAGTAAATAAAAAATAAAAATAAAAAAATAAAAAGAAAAGATGTTACAGTCAGGGAATTTTGGGGGGAAGGAGAAAGCAAAGAGAGGGTGGAATAAGCATGATGTTTTCGGTGGTGGGAGATTTATGATTTTTACTTCCCTCTATCTTATCTCCTCATGATGTATCTATAGTGTGTATAGTATATTTTCCTGTATACTCTTTACACCTTTTGAACCCCACTCCAACACCTCCTTTTTATTTTATCATTCACTCCCCCTCAATCTCTAAAGAGTGTACAAGAAAATATACTATACACACTATAGATACATCATGAGGAGATAAGATAGAGGGAAGTTACAGGAAAATGACTCCACTATTTCATACCTTGCGCTATAACAAATATGGGCTCAGCCTTGCTTGCAATTGAGCTTGGTTTTATGGGACCAAATTATTCAATATCAACCGCTTGTGCTACCTCCAATTATTGCTTCTATGCTGCTGCCAATCACATTTGTCGAGGTGAATTGCATTGATTTTGTTGTCTATCTGAGTTCATTTGTGGAAATACATGAATAGTGTATTTTAATGTTTTCTTTAAGAAATATAGTTGAACATATAATTACAAAGCAATGTACAACTACTACATTTCTAAACCTTGTAGAAGTTGATTATTGTCCTACCGCGCATAAAATGAATTGTTTGTGTTTCCAAAAATAGATCTTCTGCTTTTGAATTTGTGGTATCAACATATTCCATCTCGTTTATCTTTATGATATCAAGTTTTCATATTTATGCTTCATAATTTGTGGTATCAACATATTCCATCTCGTTTATCTTTATGATATCAAGTTTTCATATTTATGCTTCATAGTATGACAATAATTTATAATCACAAGTCAGATTGCACACAGCCTTGATTCTACTGAGAGGTTTGCGCTCTATAAGCTTCCAGGATCATTGGACTAAGGATGACTCTTTAAATATAACTATATGACGCAGAGGGTTCTTTAAGTTAAAGTTTAATAAGCAAGGTGCTTAAGCACATGCCTTTGCATACAGGTTTATGAAAGCATTGTGGTTTTTGATCGTTTGTGGATCCATTCATGTCACATACTTTGGAACAAAGTAGTTGAGTTTGTGAGCTCCCCTATTAATTTTAAGTAATATGTCCCTGATGTTGTAGCAAGCTTTGTTTGTTGGTTTTGACTATATATTGGCACATTAAAAATAATTTGAGATAACTGTTAAAGTTTGTAAGCCTAGATCCTTATCTCGGCTAAGAAGAAAAGTGTTGGTCAAACCTGCTAACTTTCTTGAGCCTAGATCCTTATCTCGGCTGAAGAAGAAAAGTTTTGGTCAAACCTGCTAACTTTCTTGAGCCTAGATCCTTATCTCGATTGAAGAAGAATAGTGTTGGTCAAACCTACCAACTTACTTGAGCCTAAATCCTTATCTCAGTTAAAGAAGAATAGTGTTGGTCAAACCTGCCAATTTTCTTTAGCCTAAATCCTTATCTTGGCTGAAGAAGAATAGTGTTGGTCAAACCTGCCAACTTTCTTGATTGCCCCTAGTTGGCAATAAATATGAACAACTTTTACAAACAGAGGAAAGAATTTTACCGGGAAAAAGTAAACTTGTTTTATTGAAAAAGAAAAAATCACAAGTGTTTTAAGAAAAAGCTAAAAATAAAATACTTTGAGATTGGTCGTGTTCCATGGCTTGAGAATAGCTTTGTTGTCCATATCTTTTAAGTGATATGCCCATTTTCCCGCTAAATCAATCACTTTGTATGGTCCTTCCCAGTTAGGTCCTAATTTGTCATCTCCAGGTACTAAAGTGTTGCCCGTTACTTTGCGTAATATCCAATCTCTGCTCTTGAATTGCCTTGGGTGCACTGTTTTGTTGTATTTCCTGGACAGCTCTTGTTGATATGAGGCAATATGCACCAATGCCCTTTCTCTTCTTTCTTCTGCAAGGTTGAGTTCTAGGGCTATGGCCTCATCATTCAAGTTTGGATCAAAATTTTCACTTCTAATAGTGGGGAGGCCCACTTCCAGTGGGATTACAGCCTCCATGCCATAAACCAATGAAAAAGGTGTTTCATCAATTGACCGCCGAGGTGTGGTACGGCAGGCCCATAAAACATGAGGAAGCTCCTCAGCTCACTTGCCTTTTGCTCTTTCCAGCCTCTTATTCAGACCGTTTAAGACTACTTTGTTGGAAGCCTCAGCTTGGCCATTAGCTTGGTGGTATGCCGGTGTAGAGTTGTAGAATTCTATCTTGTATTCTTCGCAAAAGCCCCTAAAGATTTTGCCATCAAACTGAATGTCGTTATCGGATATTAATGCCTTGGGTATGCCAAACTGAATTAAGATGTTATGCCAGACGAACTTCTTGACGTCTTTTTGTTTTATGGATGCGTGTGCTTCTACTTCCACCCACTTTGTGAAGTAGTTTGTTGCTTCCAGAAAGAACTTCCTATTGCTTGGTGCTGTTGGGAGTGGTCCCACTATATCTAGGCCCCACATTGTAAAGGGCCATGGACTGGTCAAAGGTAGGAGCTCTCTGGCTGGTTGATGTATTTGATGTGCGAACTTCTGACATTTCTCACACTTCTTGACATATTTCTCTGTGTTTGCTTGCAACCAGTACCCTTGTGAAATTGTCCCGTAGGCCAGCGATCTTCCTCTTTGGTAGCTTCCACAAACGCCTTCGTGTATTTCGAACAAAAATGTCTCGACCTTGCTGGGATGGACACACTTCAAGTAAGGTCCTATGAAAGATTTTTTTGTATAATGCTAGTGATGGGGAGAGCCAAAATCGTTGTGACTTTGCTTTAATTTTGTTGGCTTCTTTCTTTTCTTCAAGTAAGATGTCATTTTTTAAAAACACTATAATGGGATCCATCCAGGAAGGGCCTAGATCGGCGCAACATGCTTCGGCTGCTTCCGGCTCTTTGATACTTGGTCTGGGTAGGAAGTCAATTAACAATGGGTGTGGGATAGACGTATCTGCCATTGACGCAAAACCGGCCAACTCGTCTGCTTTACTATTTTCCTCTCGATCGATTTGATCTATCCGAACCACTTCAAAGTTCATGATCTCCCTTTTGACCAACTCTTGGTACTTGGCCATTCTATCATCCTTTGCTTCGTAATCACTCGAAATTTGGTTGACTACCAATTGGGACTCACTGTATACCATCAGCTCAGTTGCCTTCATGCGAAATGCCGACTTCACACTCAGCTTCGTTGTTGGATGTTGAAAAGCCAAGGTTGATTGCTTGTTCAATGGTCAGGCCTTCCAGTGAGATGAGAACTATGTCGAGTCCTGCACCGTGTCTGTTAGAGGCTCCATCAATGAAGAGCTTCCACATCTCTCCTACAAATAACTTCTAGCAAATGGAGGGATCTGATGATGCCTTAGGATTAGGGGTTTCACCGCCGACACTATTTTCTTCAAAGTTGATGGTCGTCGTTATGACCTGGTCCTCACTGTTTAGGACTGGACTTTCAACAGGGTGTTTGCTTGTCGTAATGTGGGTTGCTCCTTTTTCCCATTCTGAAAGGCTGAACAGTTTGTTATGTAGTGAGTGCCCTGCTGTGGTGGCTGCGCTATCCCTGCGACACTTTTTCCCCCTCTCCCTAGTTAAGTCAATCGGGAAAACCTGATGGCTTTCTAGGCCAAATTCGGCCACGAAGTCTGCTAACACCTGTGCTTTTACAGCGGTTCTTGGCCGAAACTTAATGTCGAGCTGCTCTAACTCCATTGCCCACTTCAAAATTCGTCCAGAAAAATCTGCCCTTTCAAACAAGGCTTTTAATGGGAAAGCTATCAAAATAATCACGATGTGGGTATGGAAGTAGTGCGACAATTTTCTGGAAGCCATCATTAATGCTAAGGCCAACTTCTCCAATGGCAAGTACCTTGTTTCGGCACCCGGCAATGTCTTGCTAACATAAAAGATAGGCAGGTGTTGTATTCCCTCAGCCCATACCAATACTGCGCTAACTGTATGCTGGGAAACTGCTAAGTATAAAAAGAGTTCCTCCCCTGGTACTGGGGTTACCAACAATGGTGGGGAGGCCATGTATTCTTTTAGGCTTTCGAGAGCGCGGTCGCACTCGTCCTCCCACTTAAACTTGGCCTTTAGTGCCTGGAAGAACAGTCGACACCTATCTGACAACCGGCTTATGAATCGGTTTAGCGCAGTTGCCATACCAGTGAGATGCTGCACCTTCTTGACTGTGTTGGGCCTCTCAAGATCTTGGATGGCTTTGATCTAAGATGGATCAACTTCTATACCCCGGTTGGTTACTAGAAACCCCAGGAATTTTCCAGACCCCACGCCAAACGCGCACTTGGATGCGTTCAATTGCAGCTTGTGGGACTTCGAAATTTGAAACATCTCATCTAGGTCCTTGAGATGGTCCCCTTCATTCTTACTTTTGACCACCATATCATCTATGTAAGCTTCCATTGTTCTGCCTAACAATGGCTCAAACATTTTGGTGATCATCTGTTGGAATGTTGCCTTGCCCCTGTGTTTTTTAGGCCAAAGGACATGATCTTGTAACAATATAATCCCTTGGGAGTTGTAAATGATGTGACCTCCTGGTCCAGTTTATACATAGCGATCTGATGGAAACCTCTATACGCATCAAGAAAGCTAAGTCAGTTGTGCCCTGCAGTTAGGTTCACCAGTTGATTTATTCATGGTAGAGGAAAGCTGTCTTTCAGGCATGCTTTGTTGGCTGTTTTGTAGTCCACGCAAACGCGCCATTTGCCGTTCTTTTTTGGTACCACTACCGTGTTGGAAATCCACCTGGGATAGTGTACTTCTCTGATTGCCCTTGTTTCCAGTAGGTTTCCCACTTCTTCTGCCACTATCTCTGCATGGTGGAGTGCCGATCGGCGAGTTCACTATACAATTGGTCTGGCGGTTAGGTGGACATTGAGTTGATGGCAAATGAAATTAGTGTCAATGCCAGGCATGTCATACGGCATCCAGGCGAACACTTCGATATTAGAGGTCAAAAATTCCATGACCTCTATTCTCTCGGTGCTAGACAAAGATGATCCGAGAAAAAAGAACTTCTTTGGGTTTTTCTCATCTATTCTTATCTCTACCAAGTCTTCCACTACTTTCTGTTCGGCTGTTTTGCTGACGTCTGCGAACAGCTCGTTGCTTTCTGGTTCTTCTACCATTTGTACAAACCCTTTTGCAGCCCAGCTGCCATTTACTGTAATGAAGCACTGTTTGGATATGATTTGGTCTCCTAAGACTTCTTCAATCATTCCAGCTTCATTGGGGAACCGTAACACCTGATGGTTGGTCGATGCCACTGCTCGTATGGCGTGCAACGATGCTCTTCCCAAGATTATGTTGTAAGTGGAAAGGACTTTCAATACTCAAAATTTCACCTGTTTTGTCATCGTTCTTGCCTTGACTAGCAGAATTATCTTGCCAACCAGCCATTCTAGCATTGAGTTGAAACCAACTAGGGGAGATGTCGCGGGTGCCAAGTCTTTCATCTTTACCAGATTCTTATAATCAATTTATTTTGAGTTACAACATGAATAAGATGATCGTTGCACCATCAGAGCTGCTAAATATGTTGCAAGTAACAAAGGATCTTATTAAAGAGCCAACCCACTGTGATGATGGGTGAGAAGGAAGGTCCAAGAAAATTCAAGCCCAAAGGCAAGAATAATTTTAATAAGAAATCTATTGGCTCTAAGTTCCCTGGAAAACAAGGTATTTTTATAAAGGGCATTGATAAAAAGAAAAGCAAAGGAAATTGTTTCTATTGCCGAAAGCTTAACCATTCGAAGAGCAATTGCTTGTCATTATTTGGCAACGTTGAAAAAGGACAAACCTTCGGAAGGTATGTTAAATTTGTTTATTATTGACTCTGGTGTGACCTCATATATTTGCAATGCGTTGCAGGGGTCAAGGAGACCAGAAGGCTCAAGGAAGG